TGTACCACAGGAAATTAATCTAAGATGCGGGCTGGGCAAACATACATGCATACATGCACTATAACTCGTACACAAGCACACATCCACATTGTGCACAAAAAATATACACTGATGTCATACGGACGCAGCAACACACCGCGCTTATCTAATCTTGGCTTCTGCCTACATAACAAATATGGAAAATGTACCACTGAGACAATTAACGCAAGCCAGGGAAGAACAAAACTAATTTGGGAGTGTGTAATGGAAGAGAAAGTGAGCGTGCAACTCCCCCAGGCTCTCCTTTAAAGAAGAATGTGATCATCAGCTTGCCAGGCTAAACAAGAGTAAAAGCGAGAGGAGAGGGTGACCCATCTTCCCATCTAGGAACAGTCTCGCCCTGCCAGAGTGTTTAAAAAAACAAACAAACCACCAAAGATTATACGGTCTTAAGGTAAAAGCAAAGTCTGTGATAAGAAGAGCTGCTTTCTGTGTCACATGCTGGTGTTGCTGCAAAGCCTCAGGCCCTCAAGACAAACCCTTTTTTTTTTACCTTTGATGTAGGGAGACTGAGACACTGTTAAGAGGTGTGGAAATTGTTCAGTCCGTGTCAAAAGTTTGCAGCCAGGCCATGCTAAGCTAAAAGAAAACATATTAGTATTGCTACTAAACCTAACTCTAAGAAGGGAGTGCTAGAATGACATCAAGGCCTCGTCAGACTAAGGTGTGTGGAGCCTGGGCTTTTAAAAATGTCCAGTGTTTACAATAAACTCAATGGAAGGAAGCAGCTCAGTTCCCTGACTAGATGTTCCCGGAGGAGGGGCGGTGCAAAGAAATGGAGCTGTGAGCGCCCCCCACTCCCCACCACCACCCACCGTCCTGCCTTCATCAACACCATCATATCAAATCTATGTTTTTGCAAGTTTGCAAAGACGCTGTTGTCACTGGTTTTGCAAAATCAGTGCGTGCAATCTGTCAGCTGACAAAGAGCTGAGGCATCCTGTTGGAAATATTGCAACACAACTAAAAAAAAGTCTCCACGGGATTATTGTGGGGAAGAGACGAAACACTAACTCAAGCGATCGACTTCCTACACTTCAAGTGCCCCAGGGCGTATCAGCGATACCACATGAGATAAACCCGAGACAGTAATGTCAGTAAATGGGCGCTGTGATGTTACAGAAATATTATAGCCACATAGCGTGGATTTGAGAAGGGCTGTCAGCTTCATCTGCCGCCTGCAACACGCCGAGCAGACTGATAATCGCATTTGGAGGTACAATACAAGACGTAGTGTAGTAAGTCTACAGGCTGCACAGCTACAACTGCTTTACTGAACAATAAAAAAAGAGGGGGGGAGGCGGGGGGGCTCACACTGTCGTCGTACCACAATGACAGTCAAGCACGCACGGAGAGCCCCATCACAGCTGACCCAAAACTGCTGCCGCCTCTGCTGCTGCTTCGCTTAAAGGAGACCATCAAATATCAATTATTTAATTATGCTAGTGCCAGTGTTCCTGTTATTTCTCAAATCCAAACAAACACACACACGCAGAGAGACACCACACATGTGGGGTTGACCCAATAAGTGGCCAATATGACTACAACACACACTCACACACACAAATAAACACAGAGATACACAAAGGCCTGTGTTATAAAGCATGCATGTGTGTACATACGCACACACTCAAGAGTGGCAAGGAACTTCCAGTACTCACTGCGGCTGTGTTAACGTCCCTGCCCTCGGTTGTGAAATAAGAAAAGAGAAGAAGGGGAAAAAAGGCCAGTCACATACACTCTTCAGTTATTCTGCTGCTGTCAGGGGTTAAAGTGGCGTGTGGTGGCGGACGGTGAAACGAGGTGAAACGCTCTGTCTCGGGCTGTGTTCCCGTTTCCTCTCCGTCTCTTGTCTATCTCCTCTATCTTTCCCTCTTTTCCGTCTTTGCCAGCTCTACCACTGGTGGCTTCCCCACCGCTCTGCTCGGGCGCTCCCGTGACGTCACGACGGTGGAGCGCGCGCCTCCGACACGTACCCCCGCCCCCTCCCCTTTCCACCCCTCCATCCCGCTCTCCCTCCCTCTCCCTCTCCATCG